CCACGAGTGTGTTACCCAGTTCAGTTTAAGTCAGCTTATGTTCTGTCCATCCATTCCTTACAATATGCACCATCTACATCCCCAATCTGCCAGCGAGTCCTGCATTTAGGTCCCCTCTTCTCTCTCACCACACCACACCACGATGCTGACAGAATGACGAGACTTGTGCTGCGAAGACATGATATGAACCCAGTGGACCTCAAATTATACCAATGGCAGCAGGCAGCATTCTTCTTTCTGGAAATAAAGCTGGGGGTTAATCTGTGGCTTATGCTCCAACATGAGCATGTCTTTGAGGGGATTCATCTGGCTCTGGAGAGTCCTTGAAGGCACTGCAGTCCTCCACCTGCTGCCTCACCTGCACGCGATCCTTAGCCATGAGAAATAAGCGCCAGCCGCTGATCTCCGGCTGCTCGGTCCTCATGCGTCCACCTACTGCCTCATTCACTAGCACTCCCACCTTGTCGTGGCAAAGCAGCTCCGCCTCCCATCTCATCCTGATGGAGGTTACATCATTCAGCAGGTCTGTTGTTTCTGTCAAGAGGAGGCAAAGCTCCCGCTGCTGCTGCTGCTCTCGCAAGCAGCAATATCTGGTGGTGAGTGAGTCAGACATTTTTCTTCATTTTCACCATGAGCCAAAGACTCCTCCTCACCATAGACCAAATACCATTTCTTCTACTAAAAAAGCCAGTGATTGGTTATTGTCAACCTATGGTGGACTGTCAAAAAAAAATTAATTACCACCCGGCACCCATAAAAACTGTTTTTCCCTTTTAGGCTTCACAAAGGACATTCTTAATTCCAGATCCGATCACTTCTCTCATCCTGTCTCCATGCCAAGACCTGTCTCACAGCCACAAGACCTGTCTCTCAGCCTGTTCCTGTTCGCAGTGCCGTTAGGGCCCAGCCAGTCCCTATACCACTCCCCGGGCAGATAGCACTCAGCATTTCACCGCACCCTTGCCAGTTCCTCGGGTAGGGGCAACTGACGTCCAGCCGTCACCCATTCCCATGCCTGCTCCCAGGGCAAGGACAGCTGAGACCCAGTCCACTCCAGCACCCATACCTGTTCCCCGGGCTTGGGTGACTGGTGTCCAGCAAGCTCCTGCACCTGTCCCTGCACCTAAGGTGAGGGAAGCCACTCAACCCATCCCTGCATCCATACTTGTTTCTCGAGTTGGGACGGCTAGGGTCTGGCCAATTCCTCCACCTGTTCCGGTGCCAAGTCTCCACCAGAGGTTTCCCACCTGCGGGTCCTGCTTTTTCTCCACTAGAGAGCTTTGCCAAATCATGCCACCAGCAACCTTCCCACCTGTTAGAGGTGTCCCAT